GCACACCCCTCACACGTTTCGTGGCCCCATAGGGAGCTCCACCGAAGGCCCCTGTGGCTGCGTTCGCACGCGCCCACCGCACCCAGTTCGGCACACCCCTCACACGTGTCGTGGCCCCACAGGGAGCTCCACCGAAGGCCCCAGTGGCTGCGTTCACATGCGCCCACCGCACCGATTTCGGCACACCCCTCACACGTTTCGTGGCCCCATAGGGAGCTCCACCGAAGGCCCCCGTGGCTGCGTTCGCATGCGCCCACCGCACCCAGTTCGGCACACCCCTCACACGTTTCGTGGCCCCACAGGGAGCTCCACCGAAGGCCCCAGTGGCTGCGTTCACATGCGCCCACCGCACCCATTTCGGCACACCCCTCACACGTTTCGTGGCCCCATAGGGAGCCTCACCCAAGGCCCCCGTGGCTGCGTTCGCATGCGCCCACCGCACCCAGTTCGGCACACCCCTCACACGTTTCGTGGCCCCATAGGGAGCTCCACCGAAGGCCCCAGTGGCTGCGTTCGCATGCGCCCACCGCACCCATTTCGGCGCACCCCTCACACGTTTCGTGGCCCCACAGGGAGCTCCACCGAAGGCCCCAGTGGCTGCGTTCACATGCGCCCACCGCACCGATTTCGGCACACCCCTCACACGTTTCGTGGCCCCATAGGGAGCCTCACCGAAGGCCCCCGTGGCTGCGTTCGCATGCGCCCACCGCACCCAGTTCGGCACACCCCTCACACGTTTCGTGGCCCCACAGGGAGCTCCACCGAAGGCCCCAGTGGCTGCGTTCACATGCGCCCACCCGCCCATTCGGCACACCCCTCACACGCTTCGTGGCCCCATAGGGAGCCTCACCCAAGGCCCCCGTGGCTGCGTTCGCATGCGCCCACCGCACCCAGTTCGGCACACCCCTCACACGTTTCGTGGCCCCATAGGGAGCTCCACCGAACGCCCCAGTGGCTGCGCTCGCATGCGGTTCCACCCCTCATTCTGGCACACCCCTCACACGTTTCGTGGCCCCATAGGGAGCTCCACCGAAGGCCCCAGTGGCTGCGCTCGCATGCGGTTCCACCCCCAATTTCGGCACACCCCTCACACGCTTCGTGGCCCCATAGGGAGCTCCACCGAAGGCCCCAGTGGCTGCGCTCGCATGCGGTTCCACCCCGGCACACCCCTCACACGTTTCGTGGCCCCATAGGGAGCCCCACCGAAGGCCCCAGCGGCTGCGCTCGCATGCGGTTCCACCCCCCAATTCCGGCGAACCCTCGCACGTTTCGTGGCCCCACAGGCGGCGCCGCCCCATTTCGGCACACCCCTCACACGTTTCGTGGCCCCATAGGGAGCTCCACCTAAGGTCCCCGTGGCGCAGTGCGCATGGCGCCGCCGCCCCATTTTGGCACACCCCTCACACGTTCCGTGGCCCCACAGGGAGCTCCATCTCAGGTCCAAGTGGCGCAACTCGCATGGCGCCGCCGCCCCATTTTGGCACACCCCTCACACGCTTCGTGGTCCCATAGCGAGGGAGGAGGAGGAGGAGGAGGAGGAGGAGGAGGAGGAGGAGGAGAAGGAGCCCCCACGATATCCACAATTGCGGTATTCACAACTACGTATGGTTGGGTCTTTCGTCAGGCTAATGTTTCTCTCCCTCTCTCTTTATGGTTCATGTGTTTGTCCTCTCTCTCTCTCTCTCTTTCTCTCTCTCTCTCTCTCTCTCCCTCTCTCTCCCACTCTCCCTCTGTATCTATGTATCCCTCTCCTCTCTCTGTCTCTGTTTCCCTCTCCCTCTCTCTCACTTCTCTCTCTCTCTCTCTCTCTCTCCCTCTATGTTGTGCTGTGTCTCCCTCTCTCTCTTTATTTCTCTCTCGTTCTCTCTCTCTCTCTCTCTCTTCCTCTCTCTCTCTCTCTCTCTCTCTCTCTAGTTATCTCTCTCTTTCGTTCTCTCTCTCTCGCTCTCTCTCTCTCTCTCTCTCTCTTTCTTTCTCTCTCGCTCTCTCTCTTCTCTCTCTCCTCTCTCTCTCGCTCTCTCTCCTCTCTCTCTCTCTCTCTCTCTCTCTCTCTTTATCTTTTTGTTGTTCCTCTCTCTCTCTATATACCTCTCTCTCTCTCTCTCTCTCTCTCTCTTTCTCTCTCGCGATCATGTGCGGACCGTCATCTGGATGAGCCCGAGCACGCGATCGCACCCAGCAGTCTTGCCAGCACCAGCGCCAATGGCACCGAGCATCTGTGGTGGCCACATGAGCTTCTTCTCGCGGTGATTGGCGTTGCCCATGTATGGTTGCTGGCCTCGGAATAACAGCCTTGCGGACTGGCGCCATCGACGCCTCGCGACTTCTTGACTCCAAATCGGCGTGTAGCTGCACCCAGATCCTCGATGTTTAAGTCCGATAGGTCCTCCCACATCGCATTGTTTCTGCATATTTGAAGCGCCTCCCACAATGTGTGGAGCCGCTCCTGATTGACGGACCACGTGATCGCCCATGCGTTCGGATTGTGCTCCATGATGTCGGTCGTGCTCGCGCTCTGGAGTCAGCGATCAGGTCCTCGAATCTACGCCGTGCTTCGTCAAACGATGTACAGCACCTGGCGTCATCCTCTACATATCCTGCGCTTATATTTCCTGCCCGCCGCCAGAGCTACACGTGCCGCCTATCCTGGCAGGTATACCGCACACTCGATGACGTCGCTAGGGCTGTAAATGTTGTTGGCCGTTTCTTGTCATCTGTTGAACACGTTTGAATGAATACACCTGCTCCGCTCGATTGGTGACCTCTTCTCATCTGAAGCCGATTTTGCATCATCCTTGCCATGACGCACGACAGCGTCGATGGCCACAACGCGAGTACGCAGAGTGGCCCACCAGTCAGCTCCAGATGTATGGAGATTTGGCCTGCCTGGTATTGGAGAACATGTTTTCCATTCGATGCTCATATCATGGGCACGACCCTGATAAGTTTCCCGACTGCTTTCGGCACCTGCGAATGTGACAGGACGGCCATCCCCATGGTTGGTATCCACTTGGGATATGATTGTGCCATACACTTGGCGCTGACTGTCTGGTCACGTGTGTCCACGGTGTCATTCTGTGTTTGGCCAGTCGCAACGGTGATTTGCGTTCCTGTTACGCCTGCCACCGCTGTCGTTCATCAGCGCTGAACTCGATGGCGTCCTCCTGCTTAGTTTCCTGGTTGTTTGACTTGCCGTGGCTGGTGTCCACGTCGCTATTGAGAAAATCAAAACCACGCTGCATGTGTAGTGCCAAACATGGCGCATGTGCTGTTGTGCCCCCTCAATATGCGAGTTCTTGCTGGTGGGTCCCTTCCCCTTTTTCAGGTTTCGTTGTCATAGGCGCGCTCCTGGGAATGTCCAACTCACGATGTCACCAACCCTGCTTCTCCCCATTGAAAATGGGATAAACACCCGCAGTGTGTAGCCCTCAATACTGAAGCGAAATTGCTGACCTGGACAGCCTGCTTGTAGCCCACCGCTCCAATGAAAATATCACCCTTTCGTTGATTTGGCCATCCTGCTTGTAAAACTTTGGCCGGCTCTCATTTCCAGCTGGAGAGGATGATCCAAGGGTCCTTCTGCATGCTAGCGAACGCTGCCAACGCTATCAACGTCTTACTACTCCTTCCCGTGGACGTGATGAGTTTCGGGTCGAGGTAGGTGGCTATGAGGATGATGCTGCCAGTGCTAACGTGCAGATTATCCAATGATCGAGCGTGCCAGCTTGAGTGTGCTTTGGTGCTGCCACCAATTCACCTCCTGAACGCCCATCGAGGAGCAGGAGGGAGGATGAGAAGGAGGAACATATGGATGATGAGCAGAAGACGGAGAATGGAAAGAGGAGCGAGGACGAGTTCCATCGTCCGGCGACATGGCGGAGTCCCCGCAACCCTGGCCAAACCCTTGGCAGCATGGAGCTCCAAGGCCCACCCCCAACGACACCGCTAGCACCAGCTGGCCCAGGGTGATCGACAACATGGAGGACCCTGGGCTCGCGGTAGCGACGCTTAACACGGCCCCCTAGCTGAAAGCTCTTGGGGGTTCGTGGCGCTGGCCACTTCCACCTAGCCAGCATGCCAGCAGCCCGCGAAGACGCCCACGACGGTTTCAGGGACATCTTTGGCCATGTTGGTGTATCGTGGACGGTCGCCCAGTACTGCGAATTCAGCGCGCTTTCAACGTGAAGCCGCGACAATCAGTCATGGTCACGGAGCAACCGCAGAAAGCCCACGGCAAAGTCCACGTGCTGGCGGCCAAAGCGCCCTCCCTCGTGGGCGAAAACATATCCATACCCGCGGGGCCCGGCCCCCGGGCCGCGACCCCGCGAACACGTTGCGCTTTTTCGCGGATGCCCCCTCGCGGAACGTATCCGTGGGACCGCAGTATCGCGCCCGGGAATCCAAACCGCGAGGGCGCGGATGCGTATATGCTCGCCGGCTCGTGGCTCCCATAATGCATCCACAGCCCGCAACGAGCGGCGCAGCGGCACGATATGCAGGCCGTACACAGCTCTCTCGACGGCGGGGGCCTCTAGCACAAGAGCGCCAGCTGCTGAAGGGACGTGGGGACACACAAATAGATAGACACACACACACACATCTATGTGTTTCCATCTGTTATCGACGTTCGCCTTCCCATCCACTTCCCATATGTTTCCAACATGTTCGTGGATCGACGTTGATTTGTGTCTGTGTATTGTTCCCTCCTGAGCCGTGGCCTCAAGAGGCAGGGGCCCGCCGAGGCCCAGGAGGAAGGGAGAGCCACAAGCCTCCGAGAGCCTCGATCCTCGAGCCCTGGTCGGCGAGGCGAGGAATCGTATCCACAACCACTGCCTGGGGGATCCGTCGTTGGGAGCCTCGGCAGGCGGTGGATCTCACATATTCCAGCCGGGGGGAGGGCCGAATACATCCACATCCGCAGCCTGCCGAGGTCCCCCAGGATCGCTCCCCCAAGCCGTGGTGCTGAACAAATCCCCGCCTTGGCGGCGACAGCGCAGGTCCTTCGCGGAATCCAGGAAGGTGCGCGTCATGAGCCGGGTGAAGATGCAGCCTTGTCTCATCGCCGGGCGGCACTCTCCAACGGCCAGGGGTGCACAGAAGGTAGGATAAATTAGCATCGAGGGTCGAATCGGAACGTGCGTCGGATCAGGCCGCATCGGCGCGCAATTGAAACATAATCGGATCGGCCGCGTCGGCATGCACGACGGCGCCATGCAAGCATCGGGCCGCATCGGACCGTCGGAAAATCGGAGTCGAATCGGATCGAGGGTTTAGGGATCGATATCGAACTGGATCGGTCGGAGCGACTTGGACCCTGCAGGGAAGGGCTGAAACAGTGTGCACAGAGGAAAGGAGGAAGGGTCGAGCAAGTCACGCCAGAGGCTTCCCTCGACGTCGGCCTGCAGGAGCCCGGTGCGGGCGACAACATCCAAACCACCCGAGCTCTCGGCCACATCCAAGCAAAAAGCGCACCTCGTCCCCTCTCGGTCCCCCGTTGTCCCCTTCTCGGGCCTCCTGAAGCCCAAGAATGGCTGAAGACGCACAAACAAGAAACCTCGGTGCCCAGACATCCCGACGTCAGGAATTTTTAAATGCGGGGCCCCTGGAAGTCCGGACCTGTTCCTCAGGGCAGGCGTCTCATCCTCAGTCTGCTTTTCCAAACCATCCTGTGGTGTTGGGTCCTCGCTTTGAAGAGACAGCGCCGCACGTCCCACCTCCTCCTCCTCCTCCTCCTCCTCGTCCTCCTCCTGTCCTCCCCCACTTTGGCGCACCTCTCACACACTTCGTGGCCCCACAAGGGAGCTCCGCCGAAGGCCCAAATGTCAGCGCTCGCATGCGCCCACGGCATCCATTTTGGCACGCCTCTCACGCTTCGTGGCCCCAAAGGGAGCCCCACCGAAGGCCCAAGTGCCAGCACTCGCATGCGCCCACCATTTTGGCAGGACCCGCACACGTTTCGTCGCCCAATGGGGAGCTCCACCGAAGGCCAACATGCCAGCGCTCGCATCCGCACACCGCACCCATGTTGGCACGCCCCTCACACGCTTCGTAGCCCAAATAGGGAGCTCCACCGAAGGCCCAGATGCCAGCACTCGCATGCGCCCACCGCATCCATTTTGGCAAACCCCTCACGCGCTTCGCAGCTCCACCGAAGGCCCACATGCCAGCGCTCGCATGCGCCCACCGCTGGCACACCCCTCACACGCTTTTGGCCCCATAGAGAACTCCACCAAAGGCCAAGAAGCCAGCCCTCACATGCGCCCACCACGCCCATGCCGGCACACCCCTCACATGTTTCGTGGCCCCACAAAGAGATCCACCAAAGGCCCACATGCCAGCGCTCGCATGCGCCTGCCGCACCCATTTGGCACGCCCCTCAGACGCTTCGTGGCCCCATCGGGAGCTCCACCGAAGATCCAGATGCCAGCGCTCGCATGGGCCCACCCCGCCCATTGTGGCACGCCCCTCATACGTTTCGTGGCACTATAATGGGAGCTCCACAGAAGGCCCAAATGCCAGCGCTCGCATGCGCACACCGCGCCCATGCTGGCACACTCCTCACACGTTTCGTGGCCCCACAAGGAGCTACACCGAAGGCCCAAAATGCCAGCGCTCGCATGCGCCCACCACACCCATTTGGGTACACCCCTCTCACGCTTAGTGGCCCCACAGGGAGCTGCACCGAAGGCCCACATGCCAGCGCTCGCATGTGCCCACCCCGCCCGTTGTGGCAGACCCCATCACACGTTTCATGGCTCTATAAGAAGCTCCACCGAAGGCCCAGATGCCAGCGCTCGCATGCGCCCACCGCACCCATTTTGGGACACCCCTCACCACCGAAGGCCCACATGTCAGCGCTCGCATTCGCCCGCCGCAACCATGTTGCCACACCCTTCGCACGTTTCGTGGACCCAACGGGAGCTCCACCGAATGCGGTGCTTACATCGACGGTGCCCACAACTGGATCTGGTTGGGTCTTTCGCCAAGCTGATTTTGACGGTCCCGGTGGGCCAAGGGGGGCCCAGATGCAGAATAGTGTAAAACGCACGCGCTGCTGTGATGCACTGTTTCTCCCCAACCGTCACTGAGTTTGGGCCACCCCTTCGGCGGGGAGGCGCTCGCCCGCTGGCCTATCTTCAGGTCGAGCTCCTGCCTGGCGTCAACAGCCATCGCCAGGTGCTTGTCGGGCCGACCCAGGCTCCTGAAGGCCTTAAGTCCGCGGAATCGGCCGGTCACCCCCTTCTTAGTCCTCCTGCTCCTCCTCATCATCACCATCGTCCTCCTCTTCCCCCTCCTCCTCTTCTCCGCCTCCTCCTCCTCCTCCCATCCTTTTGCTTGTGAACCTGAAATAACCACCCAGAGCCTTTAGATGACCTTAGGACCGTCCAAAAACCCCATAACCTTGATGTGGCGCTGGCCTTAGCGCCGCGCTGATTCGCCTTCAACGTTACAATTTCAAGGAGTCTTATGTTTAGCGTCCCAAGCACTGTGTGTTGGCACGGCGTCGGATTGTCAGGGCGCACCAGTGACGCACATTCGCGGTTGAAGTCCCAGAAACGATATTCTGGCACGATTCGGGATCGTCATGACGCAACAGTAACGTTTATTCGCGTCGTTGAAGTCCCAGGAATGGTGTTCTGGCACGGCTCAGGATTTCGGAAGGTGTCTTCCAACGGGGCACCCCCCTCAGTGACAATGACTCCATGTAGGGGCCTTTGAAGAGCTAACAGGGAGGGAGGGTCCATTGCAACATCGTTGATGGATCTTGCGTTTGCACTGGTCCTCCTCCTCAGACGCTCTTCCTGCGTTCGCTCCTCCCCGCCTCCTCCGCATCCTCCCCCCCCCCAGGCAGGCACCCCGACGTGTCGGACAACTCTGAAAATGGTCCCTTTTGCGTAGCCCCGACTCTGATCTATTGGCTGGCCGCAGCGTCTTCCCCCGCGCGAGCCCAACCACACATCTTTGAACGCGCGCGCGCGAACACAATGACGAAACGGAGCAAAGCGAGCAAGGACAGTTGCACCTGCGTGGGCCGAGCAGCAGATGAGAGGCACAGGGCCAACGAAAGGCATCGCTGCCCAAAGGGAGGGGGTGCGGGCCATGCAGGATGTCCGAGAGGGCTGGAGAACCTTACCCTGAAAGGTGGTCCTCCTGGACTTAGGTCGGGCATGTGCTCCTACATGCGAATGTTGGAGGAAACATTCAGCAGTATCAAAAACATACCCCAAAAATCATCAAACAAATACTCAAAACTATGTTTTTACTATTTCTGAATACTCCTCCTGTAGAGGGACACGTCCGACTGAATCCTAGACCAATTTGTTCATTATTCCACCACCTTGCCTCCCAGGAGTCCACGACGATGGCTACAGCTGCGCAGTTTGCAGCCTCCCAGGGAGCTATGAGGTCTCGGCTGGGTGCCGCACTCCCCGACTCCGCCGGACATCCCAGGGGAACCCACGAAAGCGGTGCTAGTTGCGCAGCTCGCAGTCCCCCAGGGAGATGCGAGATCTCCGCCGGGTCCGCGCACTCTCCTACTCCGTCGTGCATCCCAGGAGGTCACGAAAGTGGCGACAGCTGCGCAGTTCGCAGCATCCCAGGGATTAGCAAGGTCTCAAATGGGTGCGCGTACTCCCCTACTCCGCCGTGCCTCCAGGAGCCCACGAAAGTGGAGCTAGTTGCGCAGTTCACAGCCCCCCAAGGAGATGCGGGGTCTCGGATGGGTGCGCGTACTCCCCTACACCGCCGTGCCTCCCAGGAGTACACGAAAGTGGCGACAGTTGCGCTAGTTGCGCAGTTCGCAGGCCCTCAGGGAGATGCGAGGTCTCGGCTTGGTGTACGTACTCCCCCACTCCGCCGTACCTCTCAGGAGCCCACGAAAGTGACCAACTTGCGCACTTCGCAACCCCAGGGAGATGCGAGGTCTTGGCTGGGTCCGCGTAGTTACTCCCCTACTCCGCCGTGCCTCCCAAGAGCCCACGAAACTGGCGACAATTGCACAAATTGCAGCCCACAAGGGAGATGCGATGTCGCGGCTGGGTGCGCGTATTCCCCAACTCCGCCGTGCCTCCCAGGAGCCCGCGAAAGTGGCCACAGCTGCGCAATTCGTAGCATACCAGCGAGCAGCGAGGTCTCAAATGGCTGCACGAAATCCCCTACTCCGTGCCCCCAAAGGAGCCCACGACAGTGGCGCTAGTTGCGCACCTCGCAGCCTCCCAGGCAGCCACGAGGTCTCGGCTGGATCCTCGTACTTCCCTGCTCCGCCTTACCTTCCAGGAGCCCACGAAAGTGGCGATACCTGTGCAGCTCGCAGACCCCCAGGGGGATGCGAGGTCTCGGCTGGGCGCGCGTACTCCTCACACAGCAGAACAATTGACCAAGAATACTAGAAGTCGGAACACCTGGGCCAACTGTCCGGCGGCTTCTTGAGACAAACCTGGACCAACGTCTGCCGTTAACGCTAGAAGGGGCGAGCATGCCCAAGAAACTGAGCCAATTTTCCGGCAAGCTGGTCAAGGAACGTTGGCCCAGCTTTTCGGGAGGAGGTTTCTTTATCATAAGCTCGACTGTACTCCGCCGTGCTTCCCAGGAGGCCACGAAAGTGGCGACAATTGCACAATTTGCAGCCCACCAGGGAGATGCGGAGTCTCGGCTGGGTGTGCGTACTCCCCTACTCCGCCGTGCCTCCGAGAAGCCCACGAAAGTGGCGACAATTTTGCTAACTAGTTGCGCAACCACCCAGGGAGCAGCGAGGCCTCAACTTGGTCCGCGTACTCCCCGACTCCGCTGGACTTCCCAGGAGCCCACGAAAGTGGCGACATTTGCGCAATTCGCAGCCATCCAGGGAGCAGCGCAGTAGGAGGCAGGAGGAGGAGGGGGAGAAGGAGAGGGCAGGAGGAGAGGAGGTGAAGACCACAGCTCTCTAATCAAAACGAGAACCCAACACAGGATGGTTTGGATTGTTTATTTTTGTTGCTTCCGCTCCTGTTGTAATGGCACCACCCAAGTAACAGACCCGCTGAGGCATGGCTGGAGGCGACTGCCATACGGAAGCATCGTTTCGATCACTGCCGCGAACGATCTTATTCCTGCAAAGCGCATCCGGCTAGCTGGTAATCTGGTGTTACTGCCAATGGATACTAATTGAAGGGTTGGGACTTCTCTTGAGACCCATGGCTGGAGACGACTGCCATACAGAAGTAATGATTCCATCAATAAAGAATATTCCGGCCCATGCCGTTCATGATCTCATACCTGCACAAAGCGCGTGTGGCTAGCCGGCAATCTGAAGTTTCTGCCCGATTCACGGCCTCGTGCAAGAGCCCCGTCTCAGCACAGCTCGACTCCCAACGCCACGAGCAGCGCCGCGCAAGCTCCCAGCAGGCCGGGCGCCCGGCTCCCTGAGTCCTCCGCCGGCTCGCCCATGGTCGCGGTGGCGGTGGTGGTGTGGGCCGACGAGGTGGTCGAGGTCGCTGAGGTCGTGTGCAGGGACGTGGTGCTGGTCCCCGAGACGGTGGTGGTCTCCGTGGTGGTGTGTGGGGTCGTCGTGGCGGTCGCGGTGGCGGTCTCCGTGCTGCTGGTCGCGCTGGTGGTGGAGGTGGTCGTCTCCGCCATGCTGAGCACCCTGCAGCTGCCGCCCCCCGAGTTGCCGTCCGAGTAGCACAGCACGGCGGAACGGTCGTCGCAGCTGGTCACGGCCATGTGCTGCGTGAGGCCAGAGTTCACCTCGCTGGGGGGGCCGGCACCGACGGCGGAGCTGTTCGCCACCAGCCCCACGACGTTGCACGTGCCCCTGCCGGCGAAGCCCGCCGCGTCGGTCGCGGCGCCCTCCGGGTCGGCCGAATAGCACACCAGGGCGGCGTCCTCGGTGAGCGCGTCCGCGGTCAGGTACAGGGAGGGCAGGGCCGTCACCTCGCCCGCGTCCCCGTAGCTGAGGGCGGACCCGTCGACGGCCACCGACCTGCAGTCCACCCGGTTCTCGCCCACCCCGTCCGCCCAGCACACCAGCCCGCGCCCCCCGGTGAGCCTCACCAGTGCCAGCCCACCGAACGCCTCGGACTCCCCGCTGAAGAACCTCTCCCTGGAGCCCGCGGCGAAGTCGCCCTGGTCGACCAGCGCCATGCACTCGCCTTCCCCCTCCGCGCTCCAACAGACCACCGCGCTCGTCTCGGAAAAGGCTTCCACGGTGACGTCCGAAGTGGCGAAGTCCGTGTCGAAATACGTCTTAGTGCCCACAGCGATCGCACTCCCCAGCCCTAAGGTCAACTTGTTACAGACGCCGGCTCTGTCTTTCAAATCGTTGAGCGGCTCAGACCAGCAGACGATGCCGACTTCTTGCGTGAGGCTCGCGACGCTCAAGAACGACACCCCCACCGCGACATCATCGACGACATAGGGCTCGCTGGCCTCGACGCTGCTGCTACCGACTTCCAAGTGCCTGCATTCGAGGTGCTCCGTGTCGAGGTGGTCCTGGTAGCAGACTACAGCAGACGAGGAGGAGAACGATGCCACGTTGATGTACTGGGTGACCTTGGCGTCAAAGACCACCGACGCATCCTCGGTGACCGCCATGCCATCCACCCTGAGGATCTTGCACGTGCCCGCGCCACCACTGTTTGCGTAGTCCGTGTAGCACTGAATCACCCGGGAATCGTCCAGCTTGCTTACCGAGGTGAAAGCTGTCCCGCTCGGGTTCACAGGCAATGCCTCGCCCTGGTCAACAACGTACACGGGAAAAGCGGTCGCGCCGACTGCCAGCAACACCACCAAGGAAGCGCGGCTCAAGAAGGCCATCCTGGGTTAACGCGGGTGCTGAATGACAAGGCGAGATGCTGGCAGGATGCTACAGCGCTGCAGAAGGACTGCTGCTCTTGAGCCAGGACAAGAGGGTTGGGGGAAAAATGAGGGTTGGGAAAACATATTTCCTGGGAGAGACAGAACATTACCGATACTGCTCCTCTGTGGACCTCTTCTGGGGTGCGCTCTGACCCGCACTTCGAGGAGGATGGCGACGAGGGCTGTCCAGGACGAGCAGCGGTTCGGTACCATTTCCTACTCTGATTCCTACCGGCGGCGCGCCCAGGAGGGGAGTGCGAGGGAGCAGGCCTTCTCAGAAGGCGCTGGGGCTTCCCAGAAGCCCTCGCGCCTTCTGGAAGGCCTTCTGCATCTCTGGGAATGGCGCAGAAGACCTCTCAGAAGGCTCGAGGCCTGACGAGACTTCTCAGAAGGCCCGCCCCTTCTCACCTCCCCCCCTGGCTCGCAGCCGATCCTAACTACTCTGCTGGGTGCGTTTTGACTAGGATTTCGAGGCGAATCCAGCGGTAGCGACGAGGGCCTCCCAGTAGGCCCAGAAAAAGGAAAATGACCGAAGGGTAGCAGTATGGGTACCTTTTCCTCCTCTGAAGATCGGTCAAACGATACTGAGCACACGTCACGGGCACACGGCAGCAGCCAGGCACGCGGCAAAGGCACACGGCACGCGAGCCCAGACGCTCCGGAGG